ATTTATGCTTACCGTTTGTGTGTTATGTGTTTCAGGTACCAGTGATGATCGCAGGAAGGCGCCGACATGATCAGTACACACTTGCAGATGATATGTTTTTGAGATATTGGGATAGGGATTATGTATTGTGTTTTTGTGGAAATATTGGATACATGATTTGGAAATGAAATGTTTTTATTAAAAATTAAATGAAAATTTGTTTGAAATTTAACGGTGTTACAGATTCCTAGTCCTGTCCAACCTACTGAGTCACCACTCAACTCACTGATCTGACACATAACCAGAAGGGATTTGGGTTTGCGACTCGACTCGCCGAGTCCATGAACAGACTCGCCGAGTCCACTTGTGTCATCACCATTTTGTCGATTACAGTCCGTTCCATTGCTTCCCACGTGTAGATATGGGCACCTAAGGATAACATACACGTAAAGTTGCCAACTTTACGTGCATGCAAGGTGCTATGAAGCTTGAACACCAAATCCAAGCTAAAATGGGGGTTTGTGATATGGAATGGAACCATAGTTGGGTAAAGCTAGCAACTTTGAGCTTCTAAAGCTCAAGAGTGCCCATATCTAAAGTCCAATACATCCCCAAAGGCTTAATACTCAGATTAACCTTGGAAATAGCCCAAATGTGACAAAATACAAGCTAAGAAGAGGATATAGATGAATAACTATGACATCCCCAAAATCTCGGCCAGAAAAGACCGATTTTCATTTATGCTTTTAAATATTTTCAGAGTAAATCCTTTTGATTTGAAAGAGTTGCGGAATTTGTTCCCAAAAACAAAACATGATAAAACAATGTTTACCAAAGCATTTCATAAAAGAAATGTATTTTTCATTATATAATCAAAACTCGGGGTGTCATGTTCCGATATAGACCAACAAGCATAAACGAATACATTACAAGTCATATAACAAATATAAACATATGCAAACTTGCAAACAAAATAACTTGATGGTTCGTCCATCTCATGCCCTTGCGCCACTTCCTGTAATACAAATAAAACTGAGTGGGTCAGGCTTGGGAGCCTGGTGAGCATATAGGGTTTTCAACCCACAATAAATAATTAAATTAATTATTATCAACCAACAATAACCCAGTTACCCATTCCCGTTATTCTCACTTTATGTCCCTAAAATAACTAACATAAGGGACCTAATCTAAGAATATTTTCATCGGGGTGACAACACATGCTGCGGGGTTTCCTCAGCAATATAAGTCAAATAAGGCAACCATGAGGGGGATGGAATACAGCGAATGAACACCCAAGTTCATTAACACCTACAGGTTATGAGCCTGCTAGCGTTCCACATGACTATCTAGAAAAGTCCATGGTCGTCATCTAAATTCCGCTAGATGACTGGATCAAACAACAACGAGGCCTCTCATCTGTTTATTACACACCAACTATCTAACCATGTTCTACCCAACATATTAGTAGATAAAAACATACATTTTTATACATATTTTTAAAACCTGTATAGCATGCTTGATCAATACATTTTCCATATAACAGATGAGGCACACACACATAACACGTATTTCATATAGAAATAATCATATCTGTAAGATAGAAGAAAGTGAATATACATTCACACACATAACAACAAAATATACACATAACACGTATCTCGTATAAAATAATTTATAGTTATACGTTAGGAGAAAGTAACAACGCCTTCGGACGTATAAACGATGATAAACTTAATACACTCAAACCATACTTGTATTATTATTGAGTTTATGAAAGGTAGTATACACTCACTTGATCAGAAGATGATCGGACAGCACTACGACTTGCAGAAGTAGTAATCCTCCGCAGATCTGGAAGATCTCTACGAAAATCGAACATCTCGCGGGCAGAGCTTCGGCTCGGAAACCGCACTTCTCGGGATCTTCGGGATCTCGGGACTCGCTTCGGGACTCGGGAATATTACCGGGGCTTCGGGATGGCTTCGGGGGTAAAACCGCAGAGCTTCGGCACAAAAACGAGAGGAAATTAGCAAATTGGCCGGCTGCCCTCGCATCCTATTTATAGGAGGCTGGAAGCCTCTCGTACGCGGGGCGTACTGGTGCGAGAAACGTCATCGCTTACGTCATCCGAATCCACTTGCTGCGATGTCGACACTTTCGGAGTACGCGGGGCGTACTCACTTACGCGGCACGTAAGTCGGATCGGACCGATGACTCGCCTTCGGATAAGGCTTCCGAATTTTGATTTAAAAATAAATACAAATTATTTAATAAACTTTGGAAATTCATATCTTCTTCATACGAACTCCGTTTTCGACGTTCTTTATATCCACGGAAAGGTGAGACTACGCTCTACAACTTTAGTTTAGACTCCGTCGGCTAATTTTGACTTTATTTTTATTATTTATTTTTAATAGGCCGGGACAGAAAATTTCGTTATAAATTCATAACTTCTTCGTCCGACGTCCGTTCTCGCCTAACTTTTTATCGCTTTGATATTAACAACGAGATCTTCGATTCTCGTTTAGATCACTAAGGCTAAATATCGCTTTAACGTAAATTCACTTTTTACGTCGCGCTGTGTCGTGCCGGTTTTGTCGCGAAACTTCGACAGGTCATAACTTCCTCGTTATAACTCGGATTTCGGCATTCTTTATATCTTCGGAAACCTTGTTTCAACTACTACAATATTATCTAAAGATATCAAGTTTATTTTTACACTTAAATTTTGACGCTTATTTTTATTCTTAATTAATCAAACCACATAATTAAGCAATTAAGCACAAAACACATAATACTCAAATAATACAATCTTATTATTTCAAAACAGGTTACAAAGGTTAACCTAGACCATTCCATTGCTAAAAATGGCAAGCCCAGAAACACAGGCGTTACAATAACTGCCAAGGCATAAGCTTTATACCTCCAAACGTTCTGAAATGCTACCCAAGATCTGGATCTACTTCCTCTTCTTGAATCACCAAGGGTTTCCTTCTTCCTTTTAGCTTCAAAGCACTCAAAATGGCAAGGAAAGATTAAGAACACTCAATGGATGCTTAGGGTTTCGAGAGTAGGTAAGGGGAGTGATGAAGGTTGGGGTGGAGGTCTGAAATGATGTTTAAATAGGGTACCAAGTCCAGAAATTAGGGTTTCCCAACCCAGACCTGACTCGCCGAGTCAGTCTCCCCGACTCGTCGAGTCGGTTACTTGATCCGCGACACAAGACACGCTCCGACTCATCGAGTTCTCCCTTAGACTCGACGAGTTGACCCTTTGACTTAGGGTTTTCCTTTCCCCTCTTGGTGCTGCTGGATTAGGGGTGTTACAACTCTCCCCCACTTATTCAAGACTTCGTCCTCGAAGTCTGTTGCGGCCATCTATTATGCAATCTGCTCTCAACACTCCTACCTGATGACTATATCTCCTGCTTACCACTTCCATTGACCTTCCACCCGGTCATACCGAAAAAATTAATCCCTGCAGATAGAAACCTCGAGTGTACTCTAATCATCATCAATCTTGAGAACACAACTCTCAACAATCCTTTTGGTACTTTTCGAGTACCATGTTGGACATCCTAGGGCTCATCTCTTCTCCGCTGCCGCCTTGCGGCTCAGGGAGTCGGCCACTACGTTGGCCTTCCCTGGGTGATAAAGGATATCACAATCATAATCCTTTACCACATCTAACCACCGCTGCTGCCTCATGTTAAGATTCGGCTAATCCATGAGGTACCTCAGACTCTTATGATCCGTGTAGATGGTACAACGGACCCCATAAAGGCAATGCCTCAATATCTTGAGAGCAAACACCACTGCCCCCAGCTCTAAGTCATGCGTAGGATAGTTAGCCTCGTGAGGCTTCAAATGTATCGATGCGTAAGCTATCACACAACCTCGTTGCATCAACACTGCTCTCATACCTGTGATCGAACCATCATAGTAGACTACAAAATCCTCTACTCTCTCTGGCAGGGTAAGGATCGGTGTCTCACACAATTTCTACCTGAGGGTCTCAAATGTTGCCTGCTGCTCATGCCCCCAACGAAACACCACTAACTTCTTAGTCAGTCGGGTGAGCGGTACTGCTATCTTGGAGAAATCCTGAATGAATCTCCTGTAGTACCCTGCTAAACCTATGAAGCTCCGAATCTCTGACGGAGATCTCGGGACCTCCCACTGCATCACGGCCTCTATCTTGGCCGGATCTACCAAAATACCCTCTGGTTGACGAGGTGTCCAAGGAACTGCACCTCGCGCAAACAGAACTCGCACTTGGAGAACTTTGCGAAAAGTCTCTCCCACCTCAAAATCTCTAGCACCTCTCTAAGGTGCTCCTCGTGCTGCTCCTGAGTCTTGGAACAAAACAAAATGTCATTAATGAATACTATCACCGACCGATCCAACAACAACCTACATACGCGGTTCATGAGATCCATGAACGCGGCTTGAGCGTTGGTGAGCCCAAACGGCATCACCACGAACTCATAATGACCACATCGAGTCCTGAAAGCAGTTTTCTGCACATCCTCATCTCTGACTCGCATTTGATGATACCCGGAGCGTAAATCGATCTTGGAAAACCAAGACGCCCCCTGCAACTAATCAAACAAATCATCTATCCTCGGGAGTGGGTAACGGTTCTTCACCGTTACCTTGTTTTCTATGGGGAAGGGTGACGTTCTAGGTAAGGGAAATGGGTTAAAAAAAGGGAATTGATAAATATTACGAGATTATAGGAAAATTGTTAAGGAATTAATTGTTTGGCCATAGTTAAATATTGTTACAGTTACCATTGTACCCCTAGCAAATGATTGGTTCACAATTGGTCACACATTCACACAATACTTAGTGTTAATATATATGAACCTATATATATATATATATATATATATATATATATATATATATATATAATTAAAAAACTACATACTCTAATTGTTTTTTTCTAGATCCATTATTGTCTGTGGACTAACTGTCAGTATTTTTAGGGGATAGTCATAAGGAGAATGATATTGGTGAATGAGAACGAGTTTTAATCCATCGCCCCAAAAAATCCCATTGCACCTTGAAAATCAAAATTTTCATTGCAACCGATGTGAACCTTATTGTCGCCGACAACAAGCTCGACATTCCAAATATCGAGATTCATCTGCCATAGAACAAATCTGCTGGTGTCGGCGACTTTGTCATAGAAGAAATCCGCTGATGATTTTAAGGTTCTTATTTTTTCATCTATGGAGTTATTCACTTTCTAGTTTTTATCCCGCTGGATCTGAAATTCTAATTTGATGTTTTTTGGAATATGTTTGTTGAAAGATGATTGAACAAAGTCATTTTGGTTGTGACTGTTGCTTCATCATCGAGGGTCAACCGACAAAAATATTTATGGTCTTGTGTTGGTTGATTTATGTTGCTTCGAAGAGATTGAATCAGTGAATAAATGTGTCTCAAACAAATGAGGATTTTCTATAAATGGGTTCTCGATTTAATCTTAATTTTCGTTCTGTTGAAAATGGTTTCAATCGATAAGCTGGTTTTAATAGAGGAGGGAGAAGAGGTAAATTCATCATTTTATTGACAACGATAGGTAAATGAGGATGATGATGAAAAGGAGTGGAGAAAGAGATGTTTAAATGTGTATGTGTTTGAGAGAGATATGTGGATCCTATAATTTTTATTAATAAAACTTTAAATTAAATAGAAAAAGACATAAAAAAGCATTTTAGTATTTTCAATTTTGACAAATACCATAAATAAACTAACTCAAAACATAGAACCATTTTAGTTTTTTTTTAAGAGAAAAAAAAAAAAATCCTTTTTGATTCCGTTAGGTTCACATTTGGAATTCGAACAGAAGGTAACGAGCGGGAAAAGTATCACTTCAAATCCCACCCATGTCACTATTCGTCTTATAGAAAAACTTATCATCGCCATTTGAGAAGCTTCTTCAGATCTCACTTGTCGTTCGGCTTCAGCTTCAACTTCAACTTCTCGGTTCATTGTGGTACGTTTTTTCGCCTGTTCCAGCTTGAATAATTCTGCCGCTGTCCCATTACACTGAAAAATTGAAACCCTAATCCCAAAATAACAATAATAGAGATGCTTCTCTTAATTCCTGATCTTCGTCCCTTCACTACTACCAGCGACGGTTTTCTGTGTCCCAAAAGCTTGATTGCGAACCCTAAATCAAGTTCTGTCTGCATTTTAGTTTTAGTCCACGTTGTTCGGTTGTGGTTGTTCTCTTAATCGTTGCCATCAGGATACTGCATAAATGCTTGATTTCTGTTACCTTACTTTGATGCATACTAATTTCATCTCACCTTTTTATGCGTTTTTCCAAATATTTTCCGAATTGAAACAACTGCTATTTACAAGTTATTAGGTGATTAATTTATGCATTTCATAATTACTATTAACACCAGAATTTGAAGATCTAGAGATGGGAGTGGAGAATTATCATGTGATAGAGCTTGTAGGCGAAGGCTCTTTTGGTAAAGTATACAAGGGAAGAAGAAAGTATACTGGCCAGGTATATACAGCTTTGCTTTGTAGTATTATTGATATGCCAATTGTATTAGTTTTGTCATATTAATATTATTTTTCTCACTTGTCAGACTGTTGCAATGAAATTTATACTTAAGCATGGGAAAAGTGAAAAGGACATTCAGAATTTGAGACAAGAAATTGAGGTATTTACCTTATTCCCGATACTTTTAGTTTGTGTATCTGTTGCTCAATTATGGTTCCTAATTTTTGCAGATCTTGAGGAAGTTAAAGCATGAGAATATTATTCAGATGCTGGATTCGTTTGAAACCCCACAGGAGTTTTGTGTTGTCACTGAGTTTGCTCAAGTAATTAACTCTGTTTTGATTTGCTTTCATACATACTAGTTGATAACTTGATATCATATAAAAGCAAAAAAAAATGTGTCACTGTAAAGAATCCATTGATGATGGTAAGATTAATGCATTTCTATTCAGGGTGAGCTATTTGAGATTCTTGAGGATGATAAATGCCTTCCCGAAGAAGAAGTTCAGAAAATTGCAAAACAGTTGGTACTTTTCTTAAATTAACAGTTCTACATTGAAATTACATGATGTTAATATCCTTTAATGTTTTTTATACCTTCTAAAAAATTTCAGGTTAGAGCTTTGCATTACTTGCATTCCAACCGTATTATTCATCGTGACATGAAGCCACAAAACATCTTGATTTGTGCTGGGGGTGTTGTTAAGGTAAAACAACTTATTATAGTCATCCACTCATTTGATATGAAACAGCTTTGTGATTCCTCTTCTGCATATGAAACAGCTTTGTGATTTTGGGTTTGCAAGAGCAATGTCCACAAATACAGTTGTCTTACGCTCCATAAAAGGTACAACAACTTTTTAAGTTCATTGTTTTTGAGTTATTTAAGGTTTCTCTAATCATTATTGCATTCATTTCTTTCAGGTACTCCTTTGTACATGGCTCCAGAATTAGTAAGAGAACAACCCTACAACCATACTGCTGATCTGTGGTCCCTTGGGGTTATTTTGTAAGTTTTTTCTCCATTAAGTGCTATATAAAATATATGCACTTATTGCCCTAAATAAAAAAGAAACAACACCTTATCAGACTTCTTTATCTAAATTAATAAGCTGGCTGATCAAAAACATTATATTCAGGTATGAATTATTTGTGGGTCAGCCTCCATTTTACACAAATTCAGTATATGCACTTATTCGGCATATCATCAAGGTATGTGTTCTCTAAAGTAAACCACATTCATTTTGAAAATATAATTTTAGATATACAAAATTGAAAATTCAAGCTTTATGATATACTTCCAGGACCCTGTGAAATACCCAGACAACATGAGTTCAAATTTCAAAAACTTTCTCAAGGGTCTGCTTAACAAGGTATATTCAACAATCTTTGTGATAGTTTTAGTTTTTATATTCAGTTTAGTTTATTTATCATCAACTTCTAACTGTGTGTCATAATTATGAGAGTAGGATCCTCATTACAGGTTAACATGGCCACGTCTTCTGGATCATCCATTTGTTGAAGAAACTTTTGAAGATGTTGAAGCTAGGGTTAGTTATCTTTTGTCATTCCATTCCAACCAAACAGACCCTTAATTCTTCTAACTCTTTGTCCAAAAATTAACATTTCAAATATGATGTAATTTTTAAAGGAGCTTCGTGCCAAAACTGCTGCTGCTAGAGGATGTGATGCTGCTTGGAAAGGGGAAAAGTATGTACAGTCAACTGGTTTGACCCCTGCAAGTCCAGAAAGTAGGCTTTCAATGAAAATTTACAAATTTACCCTTCTGATCTTTGAATGAGCCTAACCAGCTTACTCCACATTACTGCAGGCAAAAACCGATCTCCCGCAACTATGGATGAAAATAGTCAACCTTCTGGTCAACACTCAACTATTGACTGTGCTTCACCACAACCAGAGTCTCAAAGAGTCACAGAAAATGACAATATACAGTCAGGTAGATAAGATTACAAGAGTATAAATTGTTTTTATGAATCACAAGTTAACATGAACTTTACCTTAACCTTTCTCTTTATATTATTATTTTTATATTTTGTCTGAGTTTCTATACTTATTTCAGGTTGTCAGGTGCTTGACAAATTGGAAAATAACTCTCGCACTGTTAAGGGTGCCAAGTTAATTGGCCAAGATAATGAAGCACTATCAGTTATCTTGTTGCCTCTCAAAAATCGGTTGTGCAGGTGGAATTTTATAATTTTAAAACTCCACACATATATATTATTAAGTTTTAAAAAAATGACTTACAAAATTGTTCAGGGATGAAGATGCTGTCACTTCAAACCAGTCCCTGAGAATTCTTTCAAACTTAGTTGCTGCAGCTGCTATTAATTCTACAGGGGTGCTTGATGAAATATTCTGGGAACTTATAGGCTTCACTGCCAATCTTCTTCATATAAAAAAATCAAATTATAATGACTTGCTGCTAAAGGTACTTTACTGTTTAATGTTTGTTATAAATTGCAAAAAGAACTAGGGTATATATTTATTTTGGAACATCAATTGTGTTTGTAATTTACTTTTTTTTTTTTGCAGTGTTTCTCAGTTATTAAGAAGCTATTGGATACCTGTGGTGGTGGTTTTGGGCATTCATATATCAGACATTGGGTTGCTATAGTGGAGCTCTATAAAGAGGTTATAATTTTTCACCTTAAAATAAAGTACATTGTCATATACGTAAAGAGGGTAAAGTAGGGTGAAAACAACATCTGACTTTTGTTACGTGTAGGTTTCTCAAAACACAGAAGATGCTTCAGGAAGAGTTGTGTATGAATCCATTGCTTGCATCACAATTATTGTATCTCGAGTAGCACAAGGTTTCAAAGCATCCCCAGCCACCAAGCGTGCTGATGTGGCAGCAGCAAACGAAGGTCTTAAAGAGATACTTGATCATGCTAAAACATCAGGGGTTTTGGATACTTTGGTTTCATGCTTGGTTACTTGTGGCACAAGTCTCATGTCCGGGTCTTCAAATCTGATCCGTGCTGCTTGTGAAGCATGCAGGGCGATTTGGTCATTAATCGATGCATCTGAGATTCATTCAACTAAAGAGAAAGAAAATCCATTTCCATTGAGGTCCATCCGTTCGCACTCGTTGGATCGGATTAATATTAATGAAGATGAGTCTAAACCGTTGATTGGTGGGGATTCTGAAAAGATTGTGAATGCAGTCACACGAGCATTTCTTGGATCAAAAGCTGTACAAGTTGCTTTCTATTATTGTCTTCGCCAACGCGCAGAGGCTGCTGCATGGTCTTCTGGTATTCAGGTGATTATTTATTTATAATCTTTTTGTTTGTTAAAGCAAGTCATTACATAATGACTCAACTTTTTTTTTTTTGGCTTATCAGATCATCTTAAGGTGCTGTTTGCATAATACCTCAGTCGCCGGTGTTTTATGCGGTTTGCCTAGTTCTTTACCTGTGACTACAGTCGTGAGTGGAGGTGGTGATAACACAATAATTTCAGAAATCTTTTCCATATTATCACTTTGTGCTTCCTTCGACAGAGATCAACAAACAGGAGACCAAAATAATCTGAAAAACAAATTACCAAATCCACATGCTCTAATCTGCCATTCATGCCTCGTACTTTCAGCAGTCGCACAATCCTTAAAATCTTCCGGAAGAAATTCAGCACTATTCATGCTGACATCATCACCGAAAAAACAACGTTCTCGCCTTTCCGACCTCGCACACCATTACTCTTTATGTGATCGAATTCAAAATTCATTTCAATCTCATTCCATGTCCGCCATGCTGGCACTCGCATCCATTTTGTCCCTCGAAAACTCTCCTTCTGTTGAAACATCAATTTCTGAAATCGCGGTGCCTTTAATTCCACGGAGTGCTACTCTTTGTGATTACCTCAGGATTTCAACACCAGACGGGAATGGAATGAGAGGGAAGCTCTCGTATTGGAATGGAATCAGAGATGGCTGTGTCGGTTTATTGGAATCCAGACTACGTTGGGGTGGGCCTTTAGCGATTCAACAGCTATGCGCGAGTGGAATCCCCCAAACACTTGTTGATTTATTAGGAAACGATCAATTAGACGATCAGATCGGGTTATCTCCAGTTGGCGTTGTATGGACGGTTTCGTCTCTATGCCAGTGTCTGCCAGGTGGCAGTTCCACGTTTCGACAGGTGTTGCTTAGAAAAGAGCATGTGAAAGTTGTGTCTGATTTGATATCGGTTGTTCATCTGAAGGGTATAAGGTGTTGGGGTGGACCTGGTGGAGGTCGGAATGGAATCAGGGATACCGTGAACGCGGTAATCGATCTTTTGGCGTTTCCGTTTGTGGCTGTACAAAATGTGCCGAATTCTTCTTCAGCTGTATCTGCTGCTGCTGCTTCGGTGAATAATGGTTATCTTTTAAATATGGGATCTCCTGGAGGGAAGGTGTCTGCTGATGACAAGGACATGGTTAGAGCAATTGAAGCAAGCATGGGAAAATACATTCAAATCCTTTCTGAGGTCAGTTTTTATATCTTACAATTTTGCCCTTCAAGTTTGAATGATTTGTACTTTTAGTTACATTAATTGTAGAGTAAATTACACTTTTTCCCCAATTGTAACTGAGTTGTGCAATTTTGGTCCCCATTCCAAGTAAAAAGACCTTTTGGTCCATGAGTATAGCTGATTTTTGCAATTTTGGTCCCAAAAGTTTAATAATTTTCTTAGTCAAATGAATCATGTGATGATTGCTTATAAATTTACATAACAGGTAGGAATTCCGGGTCGAATAATTCAGTGTTTGGAACACATGGAGTTAAAAGACACTGCTAGAGCCGTTGCATTTCTAGCCAAAATGACTCTTCATAGATCACTTGTTGTTCAACTCCTTGAAAGAGGTCTCTTGGATGCAAACAAAATGAGAAGGCTGCTTGACTCCTCATCACCACGAGAAGTTACTCTAGATATTCTCATGATCATTTCAGACTTGGCCCGCATGGATAAGGTAAATATTACATATCATATATTTAGTATCTTATTTAGAAATATATATTCCGAAACATATGATGAATGCAATGCAATGGAATGCAGATTTTTTATGAGCACATACATGGAGCAAATATCTTACATCTCTTAAAAGACTTTCTAACACACCAAGATCCAAATGTTCGTGCCAAAGCTTGCAGTGCTATTGGCAATATGTGTCGACATAGCTCCTACTTTTATGATTTATTGGCAAGTATCATTATTTTATTTTATTTGATAATAAAATTATAAACACTTTCTGTCTGATAAATGATGTGTCATACATATTACAGGCAAAGCACAAAATCATCAGTCTCTTGGTTGATCGGTGCTCTGATGGGGACAAACGCACTCGTAAATTTGCTTGTTTTGCAGTAAGTTGCCATTTTTAATTTTTTATAATTTTTCGTATGCAAACTGACGTTTTTTATATGTGTATTTATTTATTTATAGATTGGTAATGCAGCATACCACAATGAGATGTTTTATGAAGAGCTGAGAAAATGCATACCTCAACTTGCTAGTTTGCTGATGTCAGCAGAGGAGGACGATAAAACTAAAGCAAACGCATCTGGTGCTCTCAGTAATCTCGTGCGCAACTCCAACAAACTTTGTCAGGATATTGTCTCTAAAGGAGCAATGCAGGTATATATATCATAAAGTTTCAATATTTATTATTATATATTCAATTACATTTTGCAAATTTGAAATTTTCTTACCTTTAGGTTTATCTAGGGGCCAAAAATGCAATTAAGATGTTTTTTTGGAATAAGTGAAAAAGAAAGAGAGTGATGGATTGATTGATGTGTTGTAGGCATTGCTGAAGTTGGTGTCGGACTGTTCTGTTGTTGCTCTGAACCCAACCAGGAGAGATGCGATCACTGAGTCGCCTCTAAAAATAGCTTTGTTTTCGTTAGCAAAGATGTGCCAACATCCGCCCTGTAGACAATTCCTTCGTTCTTCTGAATTGTACCCTGTGATTGGACGACTCCGCCAATCACCAGAATCAACCATTGCCAACTATGCTTCTGTCATTTTCAACAAAACCTCCTCTTAACCCTAAAACTATGCCATGATATATGTTTAAATACCTTTTCACTATATCAATACATCAACTCTCTGTTAGAATTAATTTTGCTATTGTTTCTAAACTTTTAGTAGATAAATTGTTATTTACATGTATAAAAAAAAAACTTCATTAAAAATTACAAAACTTGTGCCTTACTAGCTTTGAGTTCCGTTTGTTTTACAAAGCTCAAGATCAACTTGTTAAGAGGGTTCGGATTTGCTTGTATACGATATAAACGTAAGTATTTATTTATTTTAATATATCTTATAAAAAAAAGCGTAATATTAAGTTTGAATTCGATTTGGGTTTGTTTAAAATTGATCTTGAGTTAAGCTTTCAAGGAGCCGAAGTCGAGTAGATAAGAGTAACTTGGCTCTTTTGCATATCTAGTTGAGTGTACTTTACTGTGTTGAGGTTGATTCTTATTTCTTAGTGATTAAGCTTAATTTTTGCCGTTGATTTCACCCTGCCGACTGACATCATAACATGTGCTCCTTTTTCCTTCCCTTTTACACTGTCGACATGTATCTGCCAAAAAAAGGTCATCTTTTTTCTTTATTCTAGAGTCGAGACAAAAAAAGTAGTAACATACAAGTATTTTTACTATTTAATTATTTATTAGTACAAGTATGTAAATTTTTTTTTTTTTTTTTTTTTTTTTTTTTTTTTTTTTATGGGAATCATTTTCTCTGGCTATACTGTTTGATATCATCAAACAATACGAAAAAAAACATATTATTTTTATAGTGATCAAACATTATATTTTTCGACTGCTTAAAAAAGAATCAAAGTGTAAAAAAAAACTTGTAAGGTTAAAATTAAAAACAACTTTAAAACATGGATCTACTGAAATTTCCAGAATGTAAAAGTGATTGGATTGGAATTTGGATATCCCAAATATTTAGTGGATCCCACATGGCACTCCCAAGTCACACCAACTACTTCTTCGTCAATAAATACGTGGCTCCAACGCCTTCCTTTCTTCCCTTTCTCCCTCTCGCCTCAAAACATATCATATGATGACGTCATGTGAGTTGAACCCGGTTGAAATCCATGAGATGCTCTCCCTCCTCGAGTCCGACCTCCACTTTAACTCCGGTTCAGGTTCCAGTGATCAACCAAGGCTTGCACGGATGATCTCCAATCGTGAATCAGCCAAGAGGTCGAGGCAACGAAAGAAGAGGCATTTGGAAGAACTAAACAACCAACTAAACCAGTTAAGACATACAAACCAGCACCTCAAAAACCGGCTGAATTGGCTTCTACATCAATGTCCAACTCTTCTCAAAGAAAACCACCACCTAGGCTATGAATGCATTCTTCTCCAGTCAAAACTCTCGACTTTATGTCAACTTCTAGTCAACATGCATGCAGTTTCAATTTCCATGAACGTTAATCACCTACCAGACTCTTGTGTATCTGAGTTATACGTAACTAATTTTGGGTTGTGACTCAGGGTTGCTTGAAGAATAGCATTTACGAATCAAAATAATTCGAAGATCATTAAGTTACCACTTAATCATCGTTTTAAAATCTCCACCTATCTACGTAAGTAAAGGTAATTAGATATATATAGATATATACCACTAGTGAGTAGTGACTAGACTCGATCATGCATGCATCATTAAATTAAATTTGTATTGGTTAATTGTACAAGGTTCCAAAAAGAAATGCATGAACATCGACATGCTTTTCTTTTTCAGACAATATTCATCTACAGTCATGTAATGTAATTCCTTTTGGTTTTGTCGTCGTTTTGCGGTTTTGTGGCTGAGGGTGTTTGTCTTTTATTTGTAAAACGTACATGTGAAATATAACTAATAGGTGATGTCCACATATGATATAATCATATGAAATTTAAGTTTAGAGTACAATTAATCTGCTCTCTAAACGTATAGTCAATGTATTACCTCTCTTTTTGAGAAAAAATTAACAACTCCAACTATTTAATACATCAGCTTCTAATTCCATATCCGTAGGCCTAAATAAGCATAGCGAAAATTGACATCATATGCATTCGTTTAGACTTTAGGGAAATTTCTTATTTTCAACCAACTTGCTTCTACATCCTTTCCTATTATATATTATTAATTTCCATTATGGTGTCATGTTCTTTTTGAGACATTGGTATCCCTAGTGCCGTGCCAGATGTCGTCAAATTAGAATTTAGATATATTTTATTAAGAAGAGATTTACCCTTGGAAAAGAAATTCCACTTCCAAAAAGACTTTGGTATAGATGTTTGGTCAAATTAAGCAAACTTTATACGACTATGCATGGGTTCTTTTTATTCTTGGTTAAGGTTAAGAATCAACTCTGCATCTGTCTTGAACCGAACTCACAACTAGTGTCTCATGCTTTTGATGTTGTTGATGATTCAAAATTTATATGAACCTCATTAGATACTATGGAAAACTTGTGTATGTACACCAATTATTATAGATAAGACAATAAAAAAAAAGTAACACCAAGATATAAAGCGGAAAATTAAAAAGTGGAAAAATCATTATAAACCTCCAATAGAAGGTTACAAAAAAACTTGAAACATTGTTACATAAAACGTTGATTAAATGAATAAAAAACACATCTTAATGACTTCATTTATAGTCTTATGGTACATGGAGTGTCCTATTTAATACAAGACACAAACATCCTAATTACATGAAAAACTTTCTAATTAATGGTGTGACTTGATAACCAATTAATTAACCAGCTTAATAGAAATTCGGCTCCCATGCACAACTATTTTTTCAACACTTTTCATAAAAAGGTTGCGTTAGCTTCAGCAGAATTATTACATGCAAAATAGGATTAAGAAGCACATTTACAACAATATTAACTTTACTCACATAAAAGGTGTGTCCACAGTTTCTTAATAGAAATATAAAAACAGTTATTTAAAGTATGGGTGTTTGCCTTGTAGTGTGGTTTAATATCAAAATCACAAACTGCATCAAAATCACAAACCGCCCCATATATACGGTTTGAGTTTTTTAGACATATCAAATCGCACTGGGAAAGATTTAATAGGCGTTATGTGTTGTAGTGTAGTTTAATACAGACAACACGCTTTGGGTAGCAAATTTTAATTTTGCATTGCTTTGACTGGATCTACAATCGTTAAGGTTGAATTGAAATTTATAATAAAGAGTAATTTTTGTTTCTTATATTTCTTGTTTATAAAAAATTATGAATATTAATGGCACAACTTATAAGAGATTAACTTTTAGTTTGAATATTTTTTTTTTGAAGAGCAAAAAAGTTTTCATTTTAAGGACAAAGATAGCCATTTGGATCTAAATACCACTTATCCCATTTTAACATACAACCTTTCCTAACTTTAATTTTTAGCCAATGAAAGGCAAGAGCCTTAACCTTGCTAACAAGAATAGTGACGTTCATCGTTTTGCTGTGAAGGTCCATATCACCCATTCAACGAATAGGTCGAATAATTTTTTAACATTCAAATTCCTTTTAGCTTGATGTTTTATTTAATCATCAGTATTCCTTTTTAAAATTTTAGTTGAAAAACACCACATATTAGTTAATTGTATATTATCCACTCAAAAGCTTTATCAAGTTTGACTGCATCAAATAGCTAAAAGGTAAAAAGCACAAAACCCGTTACAATTTTTTGTATGCAAGGTTTAAAATGGATTAAAACATAAAATATAAAACTTTGAGTGACACATGTCACATGGCGAAATAGGAAACAATATTCCATGAAAAGAAAAAAGAATGTATACAAAATATTAAAGATATTAAAGTTAAATACTCGATTAAAGGATATTAATATTTTCTTCAGGTGTATGCATTGAATCTGCAGGTACCTTCGTTTCATTTGTGATCTCAGTATCAGTTGAGTGGGAGTTAAAGCAGTAGAATCTTGTTGGTAACATGCATATATAGTTGCACACATTATTTAATGTGGAGGGGCCTCTTACCAATGTTTAATGCAATTAGTATAAAGCATGCATGAATGGGAGTCAAAAATCAAATCAAATGACTAAACAAATTAGTGCTTAATTGGAGAAAAAGTTTCTAATCCTTTGGCCACAAAAATTTAATATAAAAGTTTGATTTGATACATTGAAAGCTTAGCAAAAAAATTTTAAACACCAATAATGATATTAATAGTAAACAAGAGAACTATCCCACAACTAGCATAACAATTCTAGTTATGTGCAATAACTTGATTACTTAATGGTATTACTATCATAACAAAATAACTAAAACATGGACACACTAAATAAATCCACACTATATAAATCCATAAGACTAGGTATGTTAGAATTTCACTACAAGAAAATGGCATTAACGGGAATATCTAATTGATGAATTAGATGTCGCCGCTAGTGCCCTGCGTCACCGTTAAAGGCGTCACTGCTAATGGTCACATAATGACGATCCACGCCAAAAGAGCCCCATCCGTCCGATTTGTTTTCGATCCTAGGGTTGTAACGGAACGAAAAAAAACGCTGACTTTTCCCTCCAGGGTGTCACCGCTAATTGTCTTCACAAATAACCCCCCCGCTTCAACTTTCTTTTTGTGTATCACGTCTTCTGTGAAACTCTTGCACCGACTCAGTTTCTTTGACCATCCAACACCCTCCAACCGTTGATTCCTGCCAGGAGACCGCCATCACCGCCGATTTGACTGCCATCACTGCCAACACCATTGTATTAGCGCGACACACTGGCATTAGCGACGACGTTTTTGCAGCGACAGGTCGTCGCTAATACCTTTAGCAGCGACAACAATTATCTTTTGCGGTCGCCGCTAATGCCGGCATAGCTTTTGGGCCAGTCCTAGACAATTTGGGGTCCGGGGCAAAATAAAATTTGGGGCCCTTCTAATTTTTTTTAGGTAAAGGAGGGCAGCACCTCCGGAAATTTTTATTAATTAAAAAAAAAGTAATACAGTTGAAGGCTGGAGACTCCCCGTTTGGCAGCTATTAATACAAAAAAATAAATAAATAAATAAGGCCTGAACATGTCGTGAACCTTTTTGAGAATCATTAAATTGTTCAATTTTTTTTTTTTTTTTTTTTTTTTCGTTTTTTCAGTTACAGGCATATATTTTCTAGGAGACATTTTTAACAAATAACAAACAATCAATAGATTAAATAAAGCTAATGTGGCTGCTCAACAGTTGGTTTTCTGTTGAGTGTTTATATGATTATATCCTCAGTCCTTTGAGTCCAAAGCAATGAGAAATCTAAAGATTAAAAATACAAAATCATCTTTAAATGTCAGAAATTTCAAATTTAGCAAAATTACAGATTCACAAAAAACAAATTAACAAAATAAAGGGAAAAGAGACTACCTGATGGCTAATGTGGCTGCTCAGTAGTTGGTTTTTTGTTGAGTGTTTATATGATTATATTCTCAGTCCTTTGAGCCCAAAAATAATGAGAAATCTGAATATTAAAAATACAAAATCATCTTTAAATATCAAAAATTTCAAATTTAGCAAAAATCATAGAAAATACATTAATTTCTTTTTGAAAAGAAACTACCTGTAGGTGTTGTAACCTGCTTAGCTGTTAATAATCTTTGAGCAACCCAAAACA